TTTTAATATACGCCCTATAGTTTATTATGCTTTAGAATCAACATGTGTTCACGTATATACACACACACACACACACCTGTATTTCGAACTGCTCTTGAGGCTTTTTTCTCTCTTCTTCTTCTTTTTTATTATACAATTTTTGTCGTCTGTATTTCAACCATCCTATTTGTTCTGGGAGATTGTCAAATAAACTGAACTGAAATGTATTATACTTATTTTACTCTTGTTCGTCATGTTACTTAACTTGGACGACATTATTATTATGTTTTATTCTTAAATACTAACAGCGCCCTCTTTGATGTGAGGATATTTAATGGCTCATCACATAGATAAGAAGACAATAATTATTATCCAGAGGTGACGGAACTAGGGGGTGCTGCGTTATTATATGGAGAGTAATGTGTGACCGAAAATGGTCGGCTTTCAGTTGGTTGTAATACCATGCGCCAGTGATGTTTGAGTACAGCGAGATGAAACTATTTATGTAATGCATGAATAAAGTTCGGGGTTTGTCGGGTAGTGGAATGATTATTGTACATTTTAAGTGCTCCCTCCATGCAAACGTGTAAACTAAATTACGGGGATTAATTAGCGAAGATATGGAGACAATTATTTCCAAGTTCCCTCTTTCCAAGAGGGGATGCAAATGCTTTGTTAAAATGAGTACGCCGCGGTACTCATTTTCAGTGGTGGCGCCAGAGTGGGGGGGGGGGCTGGGGCTATAGCCCGCTAATAGCCCCCTAGTCGGAAAAGCCTAGGCCCCCCACCCCCGTCGGGGAAGACGAATACATTCCGTCGGGGAATAAAAAGAATAAAAAAAATATTTTACATGTCTGTTCGTTTAGCAACCATATCGCCTTCATTGACCTACTAGTGTACCGTTAATTGTGTCAACTTTTCATCACAATAATAACAAAAACAACAACAATACTAAAAATAATAATAATAATAATAATAATAATAATAATAATAATAATAATAATAATAATAATAATAATAACAATAATAACATAAATTCATATGCCGTTTTATTATAATTTATCCGACTATCGTATATATTACTTTTCAAATTGAATTAAGTTCATGAAACAACATATATTCATCCTTCTTCACAATGAATTAATTAAGTTCAAACATCTATTGGAACGTAAGTCAGCGGAACAGTGTCAAGTGTCAAAACAGCATTTAGACACTATTTTTTTAAATGTCAGTGCATATTAATGCTATGTATTGAAATGAAAAAAAAATACAAATGCCCCTCCCCCAGTTTGAAAAATTCTGGATCCGCCCCTGTTCAATGGGACTAATTAAAATGGTTTACGTTTTCTACTATGACAAGTGCTCGTTTGGATATCCTCATGATGCTTGGAATACATATTGATCGGGGAGCAATCTCGTGGTTTACAGATTTCAGGCAAAATTTCCACAATTTATAACTTCACTTTCAATTATAAGCTTGTACTGTGGCGTTCCCGGTGACATTGTGTTTTCTTAATTCATCGTAGTATAATATTGTCACGAATTGGTGGTCTTACAATTTACAGTAAGACATTATTCTTATTCGTAATTTTGTTGTTAATAATTCACAATCACATGGATTATGAAAAACCGGGATTTCGCCATGATGGGAGGATAGTATTGTAATGTAATACGGTGTTTTTTTTTTTTATAGAATTGTATTGCAACATTTTTTTTTTAATAATATAAAATGTAAAACGGATTTGAAAATAAGTTAGTTGGTTAAATTGCATACTCTTTGTTTCTCGTTGTTTTAATTTATTAGCTAACAATATGCAAATGTTACATGAACACCTGGGAAGGAAGGTGCAATCACGTTCTGTTGCCTAGCAAACGTTTGTACTGTAGCGTGCGTGTGTGTGTGTGGGGGGGGGGGGCTATCCTACTGATGTACTGTGTAGCGGGGGACGATGAAGCATAATAAGACTAGGCATAGGGCTAAGTAGACAGTGCAATTATATGTGATAGAAAGTACACTTTCGAAAGAAATAAATTAAAATAAGAAAGAAAAATAACAAAGAACAATTCAGTTGCAGACTACCTTGTTTAAGTATTATACCTTACAATGCTAACAATGCAGCCTTTGTAGCCTCAGCTAGGCAAGGCATCCATGTGCAAAGCAGTGGTGTTTGTTTATCAAAAAAAAAAAGCACGTCGGGAAAGTTTGCCTTACCAAGAAAAGGTGACGTAATCCAGCTTATGACGTTGCATGCTAACTATAGTGTGAGTGTGACGTCACCAAAAAATACAATTTTCTATTATAACCAAAATATTAATAACTACAAGGTTTGTTTGTTTCTTGCAAATCTGACTACAAAACCATATCGAAATTTCACGTTCCACTTCTGACTCCGAGTTTCGCACACACCGCTGAGGGCGGCGTTCCGGGAACCCAGCGTCAAGGGCTATTTATCAAAATGTTTGAATTCTGTGACTTCAAAATCACAGCAAACGATATAGTAAGTAACACGTAAAAAAAAAAAGATGGCAAAAATTATCCATCATTGTTATGATTATCATTATCAACAATACATTTTAGCTCAAAAGGAATAAAATCCATATTTTCTATCCACCACACCCAACTTGGTTTTTTTTTAAATTATTATTATTAAAAGTGAACGCAAATAGTAAATACGAATTAAATATAATTGAATAAGTAAAAATTCGGTGATACATGTGACAACACTGTGATATTTAATACTGTTTCATAGGTGTACTACTCGGCCACACTGCCACCAGTCATTTTGAAAGCCTTGATTTTCAGGACCCATTGCAGTTTGAGCTATAATAGGAACGAATAAGTGTAAGAAGCTTTCCATCCACACAAAAGTTACTGAAGTTCGTTGAGGAGGCCTAAAACGACGATGTAATGCCGTTGGTATTAAAAAGGGCATCGGCAATGCGCGGAGCACATTGTGGCCACAAAGCATTTTTGTCGGCAACCAGGGGGAGAGTGCATGCTAGGACAAAGCACTACAAAGACGCTCTGACTTACAGGAAGCGCCATCTAGTCTGGCACACCAACAAATGCCTGAATGAGACGAAGGTTTTAGCAGAATGCTGCCCAAAACAGCAGGGTGAAGGATCGCAAGCCTTTCTGTTCTAGTGCAATAGAGCGAAGGGGGACGCAGCAGTACATGTTTTTTTCTAGATTGTTTTTGTATCTAAATAGCCAAAAATAGTTTGAGTCATCATAAACGAAATCAATAATTGTAAAAATGTCAATGTCAAATACGTGTTTTGTCACGTAGTGGGATACGTGTTGGCCAACTTTAAATTACAACCAAACTTACCCATGTTTTCCACCATTATTATTTAAATAACCACTTCCTAAATATATTGTCGGCTATAATATAACAGTTCATTTTCATTATTTGGACCATAACAATTACAGGCATTCAGGAAATTCGATTGGTCTTTACATGCGATGATATTATAATAAGTACACAAAACGCTTACAATGAAGCAATATCATTGCGACTTTTCTTTGTGTTCTACAGGCCTATTTTTTTTATTACATTTGTAAATAATGCAGAATCAACAATATACAGATAAAATGTTTAACTTTATTTCTCGTTATGTACATAGGCCTCCTTGTTAACAACGACTAAACATAATATTTCTATTAAAACACATACACAACTATCGTTTAGGCGTAGTTACCCGTATACAGCCGGGCCTCCAAGTGATTGAAGTAAAAAATACAAGATGGTTTTTCCAATCTCATTAAGTTTGTTGTCTTTAGTGGTTAATCGACTTCGAAATAATAATATGCCTCCGTGGATTTATGCAGTGACCGTAATACTAATATTTCCCCTAAGAATGGGCCGTTTATAATCATACAGACACACACACTTACATGGAATGTAGATTTTCATAAATATTGATATAAAATATGAATTGTTTGACCTTTGAAAATTGTTACAATATAGAATACAATAATAGACATGTTCATATTTAAATCCGTACGTTTAGAATCTTAATCTAGCTGACGAAATGTTGACGGGTTTGGCGCACCTCTTCTGTTTCGTCAGTTCTGACGTATGATATTCTCAACTTAATTAAAGGCAAGGCACTCTCATGCCTACAATTAGAGGCCTTTATCTATAACCATAAACTTTAATCATCATCATCATCACAATCATCATAATATTCTTCATCATTATTATCATTATCTTTATTTTTATCATCCACATCAGCATCATCATTATTTTGATTGTCATCATCATCATCATCATCATCATCATCATCATCATCATTATCATCATCATCATTATCATCATCATCATCATCATCATCATCATCATCATTATAATTACGGTAAATTCGGTGTCGATTTGACTGTGCCAATAGGGAGTTTTCGCAAGATTACGAAAACGATAACGAATACGGTTACGTCATCAACTATTTAGACAACCCTTCCCCTACAGTAGCATATTTGTCACACCGTAGGCGATTCATGTCTTTTGCGTGAAGCAAGGATCATATTCAGCTCGTACAGCATATTGTCATGAATGTTTCAGACACGAATGACGATAACGAAAATGACGTATTTGTATTCGTTATCGTTTTCGTAAGATTGCGAAATCTCCCTAATATAAAACTAAACATGCAATCACACTTTCTGTATTTCATGAAGGGCAATGGCATTTTTTTTTTTCGTGTGCGAATCCATGCCGCTCACAGATACTATTCACATGTATACCTAAATTTCTCCTTATCTGAGCTGTGATAATGTGAAACAGGTACCATGATGTGTGGTGATCAGTCGCATTATCCTTGTGCAGGTATATATATATAGGTCTATATTCTGAGAGAGCAGATGAGGAAAATGCAGTGACGGTTTTGAGCATGTTTAGTTAAAACCAATCAAAATCGGACGTAACGGCAAACGACATAACAATGACAAAGTCTTTACTCTCTTTTACTAACACGTAGGCCTATATCGATCTTCTATTATTGCGTCAAAATGAAGTTTCAATTTCATCATCACTAATAGGCGCTCTCGTAGTTCTAAATGCGCATACGTACGAGATGGCTTATTCAGGAATGTACAGTATTGCCTGTTTAGCCGAGGTCCACAGATCGCGCGCTGGATTCAACATCTAATATTCTCGGATGCATTATTCGGAATGTACCGTACCGTACTATACCGCCGGAATAACCTCAAGCGACAATTTATAAATAATCTTTCGTGTAAACTATTGTGTCCGTTATGTTTTTTAATTGTCTTTTCAAATTGTCTGCTGTGGACTCGTGAATGTCTGGCGATGTATTCCATTGCTATCGTGTTGATGGTGGAAATTTTGGTGAGAAAGAACGGTAGGCTGAGGGAACCATCCGTATTGCTGCTGCACGTACGAATTAGCGGGATGTTTAGCGTTTGCGCTCATTTCCCATGGCGTGTCCGGTGATGGTGGCTGTTCTTCAAGTTGTGTATTTGCAGCCTTGAGAGGTGAAGCGAGCGTTGGAATTTGTTGTTGTTGTGTCGTCGCCGGTGAACTGTGTTTATTTTGTGTTATTTGTTGCTGTTGCCTTATCACTTTCTTGTATTTTGATCGTCGATTTTGGAACCAAATTTTGACCTGCAAAAATGGAAAATACCAGTAAGATAGTTAGTTGAGCAATATACAACTAAAAACAATGATATAATCACTAACATACTGATATAATATTATATAGGCCTAATGATATGATGCGATTATTATATGATATGTAATAATAAATCAGTGCTGTATAACACAAATTTACTCATGCTTATACAATTCAACAGTGTGTCATTTTTTAATCAACATAATAAACGCTTGAGAAATAAAATAACAATAGAGGTTTTTTTTCTAAAAGATTTTGTACTTTTTGGTAGGTTTGACTTGCTATATATCAATATCTCCGACCTTGCAGCCGAGCGATACACCGGGTGGTTTTGTTCATAAACACACTGCAGAAAAAAAAGACATAAAACAGAAACAGCCTACAGTTCATTGTGCCATACCCAATTGTTAGCATGTTCTTTTCGAACAAGATCGAAAAAAATAGGAACAATGACATATTTTGCGCTTCCTCAAGGATACGTTGATTCGGAGCTTGACTGGCCAAGCGATGATATAGAAACGCAGGCTCGATTCTGAGCGAGTGTCAGTTTGAATGAGGTTTAAGGACAGGGCATTATACCCTCCCAGGGTTCAACACGTAATAATGGTGTTATATTTTATAATGGTATAATTGGTATCCTCTCGCTATTACGTACCGAGTAACACTTACGTCAAATTACTAACGTATAATTACTAACAATGTTTAAATTTTGCCAAATTAATAGCGTGTAATTATATAGATTAATATTATTATGCTATTCCTAATTATGGTTTAATAAGGGACGACTTTGATGGTTTTATTAATTGTGCAACTAATTATTATAGTGATAAGGAGACGAATTATAACACATTAGATATTATACCTGCTAAGTAAACCAACAGAAAAGTCTGAAAGGTTTAAATTGAGGAATTACAACAAAATAGTCAACATGTTTTCACAAGCAGGAGCAGGTAAACGATATAGTAGTTTATCATTTTAATTGTGATCTTGAATTTTTTTAACACTTTTTAATTTTTGCTTTATTTGTATGGATCGGCAGCAAGATAATGTTGCGCATGCGCACGACTGGTAGACGCTCTCCTGTATGAATCCAAAATAGGTTAAAGCAAAAAAGGTATTTTTCAACGCTAATATCAAAAAATGACATTTAATTTTGTATATAATATCGTACATCATTAGGCCTAACTATATTTTAAACTTTAAACATAATGACTTTGTGACATGGGGTAGGCATGTACCAGTTTATCATCGTCGCTGGAGTGCCGAGCTGTAGGCCTAATCCCACTTGAGATTAAGTTGTTCTCGAAAAACCTTTCATCTCTATTTCAATGGTGAAATGGTGATATAGGAATAGAAAGTGGGGTAAACCATATGTTTGGCCCTGTGTTTGGTCAGAACATATAAAGATTAGTCCCGGGGTGGGTGGGGTACATCATAACAAAAGATACGATCTAATGGGAAGCCCGACACCCTGTTAAACTGACCGGCAATGGTGTGACTACGATTAAAAGTCATTTCATTTCATTTAGTTTTATTGTCAAATTTTAAAAAGGAAAAGCAGAGCGGAAACAAGTCAAAATAAACAGTGGGAAAAAATCTAACTCCCGGAGATCAAAACCAGCTCTGGGGAAAACTTCCATTCCCAGGGACCCCGGCGGTTAGCTCATCCGTATCAATCATAGATATTAAAGGTACAATAGGCTGACTATTTATACTACTACTAGGCTAGTACGATGCAAGTTTTCGGCTTGTGAATGGGGCAATGTACTATCACTTCTGGTACGGTACTGTTCAAAACAATCTCTGTTACTCGCTTAATAGCCGACTGTGTATTGTAACCGAATTTCGATGTTTTGTTCATTTAGTAGATGACAAAAAGATTAATGGAGGATAAATTTTGAACTGACATAAAAGATGGATTCAAAAAATATTTTTAGCTAATAATTTCATGTATATAGCATTAAGCATAATTACACAATGAGTGACAAGCGAAAATATCGTTATAATAATCATAGGCCTATTTTGGTGATAAGTTGATGTGAATAAAATGAGAAAAATTGGGCTCTAAACATTGATGTCGGAGTTCGTTCCCTCGCTGTCCGTTTCGTCGGTGTCCTTGGGCAGGGTATTATACCCACGGTTATCTCTCTCCACCCAGGAGTGTGTATACGTAGGTTCGAACACCAATGCGCCGATTTCCAGCTAGTTACAACTGCGCTTCGTGACAGCATTTATAGGCTAATCGACGCAATCCAGTTCGTTTGCTGAGGTGGTGGCAGTATGGACATGGCGGTATAAAATATATGTATAAATTTATTTTATACCTTCATGGTATGGATAATCAGACCATCGTTGGAACCGTTGGAACGTTCAGTAGCTCGACGCCCTGTCGCGATCATACGAAATTGAGACAAATTCGATTCCGAGTTTCGCTGCGTTGAACCAACGAGGCCGCTATAGAACTACTGCACATGACTTTAGTATAGAATGACGTTGGCTGAGTCTCTTAAGTATGAGGAGGATGTATATTATGCCTACAATTTTTATACTACATAAACATTATCACCACCACTATCATTTCATCATTACAAATATCATTAGTAATATTATTATTGTTATTATTTAAATGTAATTTTTGCCTCGTCTCTCAAACTGAATAACTAAAATTTACTCCCATTTTTTCAGCAGCTGAGAGTAGCAAAAGTCAAAAGACCAGATTGTTTCCTAACACGTGTTCATTAATTAATAAAATTCAATAAATGGCTTAATTAAACAATTCACTATTTGACTCGGGGGCCCTCTCATTAACAACAAGTGTGCTTTGTGTATGGCACTCGTGCATGTGAATAATATTCGACTGCGGAGTCGCAACAGGTGGTAAAAGATTTGTCCAGTGTCCTGCAGGTGATATGTCCAGTCTACAGACAGTAGGACTGGACATGCATTAATGTTCCAATGTGGGTAAATTACACAATACTGTGATGACAATAGCAAAGGAGGCTTAATCAGAATCATCCCGCGTGCCGATGAATTGAAGAAGTATTATGTTTAAAGTTAAGTGTCCTATTATACGTTAACGGTCAACTATCAGATTCCTTTCTTCTTCATTCCTTTTAAATAAGCATTTTTCTATGTGTATAAAAACATCAGAATTCAAGTAAACCTACACACACACACACCCACACCCCCACAAACACACACATATATATGTATATATTATATATTATATATATTATATATATATATGTTATTCCACATTTTGGTATACATATATATACATATAGTCCTGTATATACACACACACACACATACACACACACACACATATATATATATATATATATATATATATATATATATATATATGTGTGTGTGTGTTGTGTGTGTGTGTGTGTGTGTGTGTGTGTGTGTGTGTGTGTGTGTGTGTAATCAAATAATTGAAGAAAGAGTGCTCGAATATGCTATGCAATGTCAAGAATGATGTATAATTTAACCAAACAAAAATCGGTCGTTCTTTAAGAACAAAATTAGGACTATACAGTCCGTAGTTTCTTCACCATCCGGTTTAAGCATCAGCCATACGGAAGCTGTTCCGATCGATCGATGTTTTTCCCATGTGGGCTTAATGTTTAGGGTGAAAATCCTAAACTACTCAAACAATAGCCATCACTCTCACGGAAGGTCATTGTCCGATTTCCAAGTTCACATTGTTTCAAACTATATTGGCATACAAAAGTTATATGACTAGTTTTGTTGTTATATGTTTTACTATTGAGTTTAACACACAATTAGAGAGAGATGAATAGCACACTACAAGTATTTTAAATAAATCATTATTGGATTTCGTATAATTTTATACTTAACATTGCTGTTAATAAACGATAATGTTTTTCATGGATCTTCTAGTAAGTTTTTGATTGAGAAGCAATTCCCCCAAAAATCTATGCTCGAAGTTTCAATAGGAAACACACCATTGGGACCCACTTTCTGTGGCACCCATGTTATTCCACCTTTTGTATCTTGGGGAGATTGGGGTTGCTTATATTGGTGTAAGTATTGCGATTACATTTTAAAATATGATTTGTTTGTAATTAAGATTTACTAATTTCTTTTACGGAACGGTAAACAGGACTGAAGTTGTTATTGCGATGGAGTCAGCGACACCTAGTAATCAATCAGTTTCGATATTTTGTTATACTTTATATGTTGAGTAAATAAAACTTCTATTTACTATTATACTAACTTGTTTTGTGTCTGCTACTGCCATTGCCAAAGGCACTGACTCGAAGGCTCGTCTTAAACAGTAAGCCATCCAGACTAAACTAAGTTCTTTTTTGTTTCTATAAACTATACTAGATTTTGTGGATACTGCAAACACTACCCTACTGTACGTAAATGTATTTTAGTACAAATCTAAAATGAAAGTCCCACTAGACATAACTTGTGTTTACATTTTTTTTAACGAGGACGGTTAATTCAGTTGATTGTACGCGTGTATTTTAATGGCTTTATGACCTGTTCCATGCTCTGTGTTTAACTTCTCAATGACTAGGACAAGACTGTTGTACATGATCAAATTAAGATTAGGGAGTATTTCTGTGCGCCAACGATACTGATTAATGATTAGTTCTATCAATTAAAGCTAAGACTTTTAGCTATTATAATAATAATACTACGTATTATAGTACGGTACCATCTACTCTTCATTACATTAAATATTCGTTATCACAAATTGATATTGCTTTTCAATTAACATTACAATTGTTCTAATATTGATTGTACAGTACATTGCCAATAGGCCTAATAGGCCTATGTATTGTTCTTTTTCTAATATTACATTTTTTTCATTATTTAGGCCTACTGTTAAACGGCTTACACGTGTCAAAATACCGTAACTCTCATGTAATAACTGTAGGCCTAAGCATAGATATTAATGGAGTTTATAAAATTGAATAATGATAACAGGCTTAATGCTAAAAAGGATATAATAATTATGATTATATTAAATTATTTAAAATTTAAAAAAAATAGGCAATATTTTATTCGAATGTATGCGGTTGCCGAGGCAGCTGTTGTTGCAAGAAATTAAACAATACATGTACGGCGTACAATTAAACTGACGCTTTTCATCCGATCCGGTCCAGAGCAAATAGTACATGGCAGAAAGTACAATGGTATTCAGGTGGTTTTGAAAACTAAAGAAAAAATTCATTAGCGCTAGCACACACGTGATCAATTGCGACTTACGTCAAAGGATGCGAACTATCTAAGTTCTAACATCTGCGATGGTAATTGTATTGGGATATCAAGAATACTTATTTTTTATATATTGATCATCGGGGCGAAATTCTTCTGAAGTATACCAAGAACGAAATGTATAAAAGGCCAATATGTATCAGGTCTAAGTCTAGACCTATATAATATAAGATGATTGATAGGCCTACGTTATATTTCTGAAATCAGTCCAAAGTTTGTCGTCAGATGCTGGGAGGACACTCCTCGTTGGCACTGATATGTGAGCTACGGTAAGTGTCCGATCGCTACGCACGTGGGAGACGGCTAAATGTAGCATTTAGCATCGACGCGAGGACTTAAAACCAACTCTTCCATGTTTCTGTACTTGAAGCTAGTCTTCTGGAATTAAGACTCCAAGTCTCATGTTTAAATAAATACTTGAAAAAAACATAGAACATCATTTGGAGTGAGACAGGCTGCAGTTTTGAGCCTACTAGAGAGAACTTTCCGAAGTCGACGAGGTGATACTTTGAGGAAAAAACAATTTGTTGGGTGTGTTTTTACGCATGCGAGATATTCAAAAAATGTGATAGGCCTACTGCAAGTCACATGTTTTGCCTACCTCTACCTCTACTGAAGTTTAACACGTGGATATACTGTACTCCGTACAACAAAAAAATGATAGGCTAACAGACGCTAACAACTAAAGGCAATGAAGAAAAAATAATAATAATCTGAAAGCGCCAAATATGATGGATGGCAAACGGAAGTTCATTAAGGAAATATGGAAACAATGATTATTGGAATTCGAAATATAAGGAAATTAAGTATGAAGACTCAACCACGTGTGACAATTAGAAATTAGGGTTTTTTTTTTTTAATTCTCTTATGTCTCATATTAAAGGAAAACCTGCATAGGCCTATGGTTCACGTCGCCGGCAATGGGGGATGAGGCGTCCATTTTTTGCATATTTTTTCTTTTGAATGGCCACAACACATACATCATAAATATTCACATATAGGGACCTATCACGGTCCTAGATATACACGGATACATATTGCTTACAGTGTGGCTAACGGGATACTATACTGGGGATTGTAAAATGTACATAGGCCAAGTTTTAAAAAAAGGGGTCAACAAACTTATTTTTATTTTGCCTTGTCTTCTTACTATATAATTATATAGAAGAAGATATATATATTTATTAATACTAACTATGATTATAGACCTATTGAATCAATTTTAATTAAGTACTTTAAGGTCAGACATGGCACAACAGGTGCTGATGGCAAAACATGTTATAGACCTACTATTTTCAATCACAAAGTTCGTTGGGTTTAACACGAGCTTTGCTGTACTCAAATTATGCACAACGGCATTAAAATGACTATAAAATATTGAAACTGTTTATAATTAATAATTTGTATTGACGACTTGTACTGTGCATGGGTTAAGAAAAATACGGAAACCTTGTGCCCCATTACTGTATGTACCGTATTCGTGGTCATACATTAGTGTTAATATTATTATTATTATTAATATTATTATTATTATTATTATTATTATTATTATTCACACTAAATATGCCTATTTTCTTATAATTTAAATGTTTTAATAATAACATTGCCATGCAATTCAATCAACAAAAACCAAACACCGTGTCCCTGACATTGACTTCATACTGTAGCTTTAATACAAGAATTCTCCACTAGAAAGTAATTAACAATATTATTTATAATTATTTATAATGAATAATAATTAACGAATATATACTGTCATTTTGAATTACTGTCATAATTAGGTCTATATGACATGTTTCTTATTTCTCTCTCTCTAAACCTTGGTAATATTCATTATAATCTATAGATGTACCGGTATGCATATAAACAGAAAATATTACTTAAATCTCTGATGAAATTTCGCAGTCACATTAAGGGAAAACATGGGGCGTATACCTTTTTGAGGACGTATAGCCTACAGTATAGTCAATATGTTGGGAATTGTTTTACAATAGTATACAAAAGTGTTTATTATTCTCTTTATTTCGTTACCTTGTGTGTAAAAGCTCAGTCGGCACCATGAAGTTTTAAGCGACAAATGCGTCCGATCTGCCAAAATATGGATGTGATGTGACATCATCATATGGGCAAACCACACACATTGTTAGCATAAAAACTGCTAGTATGGACTTTATTTTACTGACTTTTGTTGAAACACACCAACTTGTTTTGTGCCGCGCTCAAAAGACTTCTTGTTCATATGAGTTACATTGAATTATACTCTAACCCAACAGTTTCCAATTGTCTAATCATTCAATTATATACTGCTTCAATATTAGCCTATGTATTATACTAGGCCTATAAACAGTCTTAATAGGGATCGCACTACAATATCTCTCGCATCTGGTTAGCCCAAATGCCTACATGGTTACCCTCTTTATCGTAGCCAATAAAAGATGGATATTACATTTTCGTCACAGTTAAGGCGATGTGACACGGTAGTCATTAAAATTCTTTGTTGATGTGGCTTATTTTTCTATATTGAATCGAATGAAAATCTGTAGTTCTTTTTACGGTTTTACTTTTATGGTAGATGAAGAAAACCTCTTTTCAATTATTTAAAACACAGTAAATGGGTTCACTGCATTTATTCACTATAGGCATACAGGCGTTTAAGTGGGGTTACAGTGGCAGACCTTCGGTTTCGATTAAGAACATCAGAACATTGCAATTCAACATGTCCTGTGACTTGAGAAACATACGCAACAAGTAGGTATCCCAATCCATGTTTTGGGTTTTTTTGAAGTAGCTCTTTTTCCAGGTGTTTGTAATCACACGGAATCCCCATTCCGTTTTTACAACACGCATCGCTGATAAGGCGTGTAATGGCGTGTTGTAGGCCTATAAGCGGGCCCTAATAAGATATATTTGTAGCTTTCAAGGAAAAATACATGTTTGAATTATCTGTATATATTTTAGCATTATGCAGAACAGTTAAATAAATAAATAAATATATCACTTCACATTTAAATCACACGTATCGAAATTTCTTACTTGTGTTTGTGTTAGACCAAGAGATGCAGCTAATTCAGCTCGTTCAGGTAATGCTAAGTACTGTGTTCTCTGAAATCGTTGATTTAGTTGTTGTAATTGAATACTACTGTATATTGTTCGTGGTTTCCGTATCTTCTTGCCTTTACTATTTAACTTCACTTCTTTCAAATCAGATTTGTCGTCACAACATACTGTCAAAATATATTAACATTGATTTTGCAAATATCTTATATTGACGCAAGCATAGTTTTCATACCATATTTATAGAGGATAACCCTTAGAATTTAGTAGTAAGAAAATTGAAATCCTGTGCTGTGAAAGGAATTACAAGAACCAAGCAAACGTATTTACCACCAAACTACTTTCCAATTTATTTAATCTTTATTATAGAACAAAAAAACTAATAACAGTTTTAAACTGTAGCCCCTATTAGAAATAAGCAAAACGTATATGGGAACAGTAGTCAATGTATCCTAGTGTTGCGTTTGAGCACAGCATTTTCATAAAGGTCCTAAATTTTCATCCATGTCATAAAGTTTGAAACCAATAAGAAATATTTATAGCCTAGGTTGCCTTTATATGGATGAATACAGTATGCTGCAGGTTCAAAATAGTCAGAAAGTAAGTGTATAGGAATGCTGTATGGCGAACACATGCGCATACATTTCTGTAAATTTCTGTAGCACCAGTAGTAGCCTGCTGTCGCGAAACCATGAACAAATAACATGCTTAAACAAAGTTTATTATCCGTTAATTATCTAGGGCTAACGGATAAACTTTATTCCGTGCTCTTGGAATACACCCATTGAAAAAATAAAAGTACTCACAAAAAACAACGCTAGATAATTATATGAGCAATGTTTGGAGTACTGTAGACTATTTATTGAATTATTTTTACTGTGTCCTCTGTTATTTGTCATGATTAGTGGAAAGTTAGTGTATGAAAATGTCTATAAGCATAATCTGTAAAATTGAGATGATGCCGTGAAATGTACTTAATCAAGCTCATATAATTCATTATAAAAATGACTGTTACTGTTTTTACGTCATTGCAATTTGATGCAAATAATGAAAACAACACATCCATGGACCATGTTTAAAAGCCTGTTAATGAACTTAATAAAACCATCAAAATTATATTCACATGAATTACAGTAGGATTCAATCGAATCTTATGTTTCTGGGTGTTAAAATAAACTGAAAAAGAAGATCATACTTAATAGAATGTAAGCCTAGTTTAAGTTGAATTCACAGGATCTTGGGTGAGCATTATATGCATTTGAGTCAGCTCCATATAAAATAAAATTTACACCACACAGTAGGCCTACTAAACGGTGTACCATGGAGGAACCCTGATTTGCCGTTAACTGGTTTTACACAAGTCAACCTCGTAGCTTCCGCTTTTACTGTAGTACTAAATATCTATACTAAATCTAGTTACACAACAATATTAATTCTATAAATGTTTATATTAAAAAGCCTTTATTGAATTTTCATATAAAATATGACCGAAAGTTGCTTACCATCAGCAATGGGACTTGATGCCGTTGGATACGCATTCGTGTAGGGATGGTGACGGTGTGTGCCCATCGCATTCATTGAAAAAGGATAGCCCAAGGATCGTGAGTGCTGCATCGAGGCTGCAGATACATACGGGTGAGCCTCATGGTGTGTCTGTGGTGGCCCAGCTGTGCATCTCATAGAAGGGGGTACATAATGGTGAGGGTTAACAGCGCTGTACGCCAGTGGCTGAGATTGCATCTGCTGAATATCCATAAACGCCGACTTCGATGCAAACGGGTGGTCGTAACTATCTCCCATAACGTTCATCATGATCCCCTTATGGCCAGGCGAGTGTGTGTCCGAACCCCTGTCCTGTCGTTACGAGTATTAAACTATTGCTTAAAATCACACACGTTTTAAAAAATATCCCTGTTATCCGAGGCGGGCGTACAATTGCTTTGGTGTCTTCAGTGAAAGCAGAGGCAATTGATATTTGTACTCTCGACAACAATCACTCATATTACGTCATGATTCAATGTACTTTTCGCTTGATCGGCGTCAATGAAGATGCTTCGCTCCTCCCCTTTCAAGCCTACCGCGAACTCCATTGGCCAGTGTTCTCTTATTTAATGAATATTCATTATAAGTTATGAATTGTTTTTGTAGTTCAGACAACAGGAATTTGAGAAAATTATTTCATTCAAAGAAAGAATTATACAGAGATGTCCTTTTCCGACAAATATTGTAGTATGCATATTCTTGTATATTCTTAATTAAAGAATTCAACCGTTTACGTAAATAAAAGCCGTAACTTGTAATTAATCAATATATAAAGTTGTGATTGTATTGTATGATTTAAAGGCTAGTTATCTCTACTTTCGAAATAAAATATAGGAACCTAGAGAACATAAAATCAATCAAGGCCTATGAATGTTGTAAACTTATGTTAATATTAGAGTATAATATGTGCATTTATTATATAAAATAATTGTTACTCGAATCTCTCCACTCGCCTTTTGCTAATTGAATGCTTACTTGCAGTTTATTTAGATTTATACATTATTTTTCCCATTACCAGTTTCTGTTTTTGATAAATAATGCTTGGTGATCGATTAACAGTATGTTAAAAAATGAAATGGACGTTTATAAATGTAAAACAAGGGTTTCACTAATTATTATGTAATTAATAACAGTTATCACAAAATCTTCAAAATTACTTGATTTAATTTCAACGTTTTTGTGCTCTATATAATGTAATCAGGAAGACTGGTTGACAGATAGGCCTAATTCAATAATAATTGTGATGCTTAATTTGGTGAATAATTTAAATCACACTGTTTTACGTCTGTTTATTTAAAGATATGTACTTTAAAACAAATTCATCCAAATGATTATCATAAATTCGCAATTCGCAAAAAAAAAAAAACTGCAATTATATGGAAAATAACAGCATTAATTTATAAAGTTGCAAGAGTGACACAATCAAACATTAAATAAACAATTTTTTTTTCTTGGGCCATTTTTCTGTCTTTCTTTTTTGCCTACATTTGAACACAGGGTACTCAAAGGAACATCAGAGCGTTTTACGGTACTGTACTTTACAAACTAAAATGGTAGGCCCTATGCCAATTTTATATTGATTCTTACAAAAGCATCACAAGTTAAAAATAAAATAAAAGATAAAACGTCCTTTTGAAATAGACAAGTGGTAAATTACTAACAGAATATCACACAATGGAAAGCGATAGACGTAAAGAAAACAATCGGACAAAACAGAACTTAAAGCTGAATATCAGCGAGCGAAACCCCGGCGCCGCCGACACATTGGTGTCTGTGGATTTTGTTGAAACATTTTGAAGCTTACCTAGCCATTCGTCACCTATGTTATGAACCAATCACAAACATGAAGTCACAAACAAACAAAACCTTCAATTTCAGACTAAGCAAATCCATCTTAATTATTATTATTATTTATCATCGTTAAATTTCACTGATACTAGCCAGTTAATTTATATTCATTTGTTTTTTTTTAATCATTTGTGAAACTGTGTAAGAGTACTTGTACTTATTGCCTATCAATATAAACACTTGACGGCCGAGTATTCAGTCTTTGTTCATTAAGTACAGATTATTGAGTTTAGTTAAGCGGGCTCTTGTTTTGGGCTATGAAACTTTGAAGTGATCTAGGCTTCTGTAATGGCGACTACCAAATTAGCCCTATTCTGCTTCTACTCTCCTATAAGTGGTTAAGCATTTCAGTGTTTACTATCAACTATTGTTTTAGATTGGATGGGCTCAGTCGAGATTGGTGCCAGTCCGGTTAGCGGATGGCTGCGTACCCAACGAAAACCAGTTAGTCTTTTAGCAACTTTAATTGACTATTGTTTTCTATGAAAGATTCTTCAGTCGATATACTTAAACTTAGGCAATTTACCGGTATGCGGTCTTTAAAACTTTTCTCTTGACACAAGAGTGCATAACTGGTCTCTAATAGGTGGATTAAAACTTTGATCGAACTTGCTGCTCTCTTTAAACTTTTAGTGGTGAATGAGTAATAGCACTTGTGATTAGAATTGCCAACCATTTAGCCACCGATCGAGAATAATTCATCGTTAATTGACCATTTTATGTTGCGATTTCAACAAAACGTTTAGAATAATTCGATAATCGTAACTTAATTTTACTTATTATTATACACTTTGCTGATGATTAAGGTAAATCACAAACGATACCCAAATTATCGTTTTAAAGGGAAACATTTTGATAGGGGAATGCTATGATGAGATTGGCTTTTCTCAATAGGCCCATAAATTCAGCTTACATAAGTTTGAAAAAAAAATACTGTTTAAAATCTTTACAATGAGTCTAAGTTTATCTTATATATATATAAAACAAAAGAATATAGAAAACGAATACCATGTATAGACTTCAGAAGCACTTTATTGGAGAAAACCAATATTTCGACCTATCCTCAGGTCTTTATCAAGGTACATGAAAAAACTAGCAAAAAGTGGACACACATAACCACTGCAGTGGGAGGAGTTAAAGAATAAACAATGCGGATTATAATGAGAGTAATTAAAATCGGGTAGGCCTATACATTAATTGTAATAAACAGTTTGCAATGAGAACGGAGATTAATAGTCGTTCCCACATAATGCCGACAGTATAATAAACAGACTATAGTATATTGACCAAAATTCATTC